GTTGATTTATTGTAGAAATGAGGTCTCACTGCCCAGGCGGGTCTCGAACCCTCGGGCTCAGGCAGTTCACTCACCTCAGTTTCCCAAAGGCACGGGATTACAGACTGAGCCACTGAGCCCGGCTTTGTTTGTTTTTTATTGTAGAAAGAAGGTCTGTCTAAATTGCCCAGGCTGGTCTTGATTCCGATTCTGCAGGCTCAGGCAATCCACTCACCTTGGCCTCCCAAAGTGCTGGCATAACAGACTGAGGCACTGAGCCCAGCCAACACTTGTTTTAAAAAACAAAAGTTAGGCCGGGCTCGGTGGCTCAACCTGTAATCCCACGCCTTGGGAGGCCGAGGTGAGTGAATTGCCTGAGCCCGCGGGTTCGAGACCTGCCTAGGCAACTTGGCAAGACCTCATCTCTACAATAAATCAAAAAAAAAATTAGCCGGGCATGGTAGCGCGCGCCTGTAGTTCCAGCTACTTGGAAGGCTGGGGCAGAAAGATCGCCGGAGCCCAGCAGGTCGAGGCTGTGGTGGCCGGGAATGGCCAGGCACTCCAGTCTGGGCGACAGAGTGAGACGCCAACTCAAAAAAAAAAAAAAAAAAACAAAAGTGGCCAGGTGTGGCGGCTCACACCTGTAATCCCTGCACTTTGGGAGGCCAAGACAAAAAGATTGCTTGAGGCCACCTCTGCAAAAAAGTAAAAACTTAGCCATATGTGGTGGTGCACTCTTTTAGTTCCAGCTACTCATGAAGCTGAGTCGGAAAACTCACTTGAGCCCAGAAATTTGAGGCTGTGGTGAGCACCACTGTACTCCAGCCTGGTTAACACAGCAAGACCCTGTCTCTTAAAAAAAAAAAAAAAAACCCGGGCTCAGTGGCTCAGCCTGTTATCCCGCGCCTTTGGGAGGCTGAGGTGAGTGGATTGCCTGAGCCTGCAGCTTCGAGACCCGCCTGGGCAACAAGACCTCATCTCTACAATAAGTCAAAAAATCAGTGGTAGCGCATGCCTGTAATTCCGGCTACTTGGAAGGCTGAGGCGGAAGGATCGCCGGAGCCCAGCAGGTCGAGGCTGCAGTGGCTGTAAGCGGCCACTGCACTCCAGTCTGGGCGACAGAGTGAGACTCCACCCAAAAAAAAAAAGAAGCAGAAGTCTCTTTCTGTGAAAATATATTTTAATTGTGAATTATTGCAAAAGGGAATTCTAAATGAGTCACTCAGCAGCACAGGGAAGCCGAGTTGAGGCAGGGGAACAGTTGGCCCTCATTCCTGGCTGCTCCAGCCTATCTGTGTCCAGCCCTGTGCAGGGTGATAGGGAGGTGGCAGGGAGCAGGACAAGAGGGAGGGCCACATACTTGGGGGCTCTGCCGTTGTCTGACTCCCGTCATCAGGACGGGTTCCCAGTGTGTGAGGAAGGGGATGGTGGCCTGGATGGGGCGTGTCCTCGGGCGCAGGCCTGTGCAACCCACCCTCCTGCTCCTTGCAGGCTACTCCAGCCGGAGGGTCCAGAGCCCCAGCAGCAAGAGTAACGACACGCTCAGCGGCATCTCCTCCATCGAGCCCAGCAAGCGCTCAGGCTCCTGCCACAGCGTGGCCTCGGTGAGCAGCGGGGGTGCCGACCCACCCCAGGCTCAGCCCTCCTGAGGACTCTGCCTCAGGAAGCCTGTGGACTGGTAGGGCGATGGGAGGTATTCATTCATTCGTTCATTCATTCTGGTGCGCTTATCCACACATGCAGGCTGTCAGCGACTGTCACCGATCACTCACTGTGCTGGGCATAGGTGGGAGCGAGGTAGGCAGGTACAGGGGGAGCGGTTGGTGGCCTCTCAGGGACGCAGGCCTGTGAGGGACAGTTGTTCACTCACTCATCAGACCCTGAGCGGGCACCTGCATGGTGCCAGGGACTGCCAGGCACCAGGGATGCAAGGGCAATAGGACACAGAGAAAGCTGTCTTCTCCTGGGGGCAGCTTTGGTTCATTCGTTCATGAGGTTATTAATTCCATCAGCAAGCAGAGGCCCAGCCCTGAGCAGGGCACTGCCTGAGGACACAAGCAGGGGGACCTGGTGCTGGAGGGGCCGCAGCCCAGTGGGGAGGTGGGTGAGAGTCGGGGCCCTGGTACAGTGTGGCACTCTCTGTCTTCCTTGTCCAAATGGGAGGATCCCCAGAGTAGGGAACGGGTAAACGCAGGCAGGAGCAGGGCTCACGGTGGGATCCATAGGAGGATGCCGCTTCCTTGGCTGGGCCCTGGCCTCGCTGTGTCTCCCTGCTTTGACATTCCTGGAGGCGCTTCGAGTTGGCACGCCCAGGCCATCCTGAGGGTAACTGAGGATGGTGTTTGGGGAGAGTATGTGGCGTAGGAGGCCCTGAGGGGCCCTGCAGAGGGCCTGGGCAGGCCTCACTCTTTGTCCTGGCACCCAGATGGCAGCGGTGAACTCATCCAGCCCCACGGCCGTGGGTTCAGGACCCTGGGATGCCAGAGCCATGGAGGAGTCTCTGACCATCAGCGACGGCAATGCCGAGAGCCTGTACATGCAAGGTGTGGGCGGTGGGCACAGCCTGCGCAGGGTGGGTGGCAGGGAAGGCCACCCGGAGCCTGACCTGGCTGGGTCACTTCTCCAGGGACTGCTTTACCCCACCCCTGCCCCAGGCCCCCCCATTCAGTGGTTTCCAGCCACTTCTCGATGGGGCACAGGGTCTAGGCACAAATCGAATCTGAACAAAGGCCTAAAAAAGTGATCCAACTGTGGCCACCCAGCCCTGCTGGTTCCTGTCCTTCGGGGCCTGTCCTGAGCCCGGTCACAGTGCAGTGAGAGTGGCTGTGGGTCCAGCACTTCTTCTGTCCCGCCTGTGCTAGGCATGGAGCTGTTCGAGGAGGCTCTGCAGAAGTGGGAGCAGGCCCTGAGCGTGGGCCAGCGGGGGGACAGCGGCAGCACCCCCACGCCTGGGGACAGCCTGCGGCATCCAGAGACTGCCTCGGAGCCTGTGTCGGAGGTAGGTGGTCTTCCCCTGTGTCCTGCCGCCAGCCTCAGCCATGGGAGAAGCTTGGTGGCGTGGAAGAGGGGGCAGCTGGGCCTGGAGAGGCAGGGCGTTGGCCCCGCTGTCTCCAGCAAGCTGCTTGGCCTCCGAGCCTGTTTTTCCATCTCTGTGGGATTATTTAGTTGAAACAAAACAGTTTGCCATTCTGGGCAATGTGGCAAGACCATGTCTCTATAATAAATGAATAAATTAGCTGGGCATGGTGGTGTGCACCTGTAGTATCAGCTACAGGCTGAGCCCAGCAGGTCAAGGCTGCGGTGGCCATGAGCATGTCACTGCACTTCAGCCCGAGTGACAAAGTGAGACCCCGACTCAAAAAAAAAACCAAAACAGTATGTGTCATGTGCTTAGTACAGTGCCTGGAACGCTGTCATTACTTAGGAGACTAAGCCATGATGGTCACACCCCTGGTCTCCTGAAAGCCTGGACGGAATGAGGCCTCTGTTCACAGTTGACAAGATTACAGGGTCTCTGTCTTTTCTTTTCCTTATACTTATTTTTTTGATGTCGTCCAAGTTTTTTTACAGGCATATTTATTGTTTTCTTTTTTCTTTTTTGAATTGGAATCTCATTCTGTCGCCCAGACTGGAGTGTGGTGGCCGCTCCCGGCCACCACAGCCTCGACCTGCTGGGCTCCGGCGATCCTTCGCCTCAGCCTTCCAAGTAGCTGGAACTACAGGCGTGCGCTACCACGCCTGGCTAATTTTTGATTTATTGTACAGATGAGGTCTCGCCAAGTTGCCCATGCAGATCTTGAACCCGCGGGCTCAGGCAATCCACTCACCTCAGCCTCCCAAAGGCGCAGGATTACAGGCTGAGCCACCGAGCCTGGCTTGTCTTCTTATTTTTTATTTTTTGAATCAGAGTCTCACTTTGTTATCCAAACAGGAGTGCAGTGGCACAGTCATGGCTCACTGCAGCCTCAAACTCCTGTGCTCAAGCAGTCCTCCCTCCTTTCCCTCCCAACTAGCTAGGTCCATAGGCATGCATCACCACACCTGGCTAAGTTCTTATTGTTTGTAAAGATGGGGTCTTGCTGTGTTGCCCAGGCTGGTCTACAACTCCTGGACTAAAGCAATCCTCCCACCTCGGCCTCCCAAAGTGCTGGGATTATAAGCATAAGCCACTGCACCTGGCCAGAACATTTATTATTTCAATATCAGGAAAGAAAAATAAGGTTAAAAGGATGCAGTTAAACCTTTTTGTAAAGGGCATACCAAACATTTGTCCTACAATGGATGTTCATTGAAGCATTGTTTTGTAATAGTTTAAAAATGTAAAAAACTGGAAACTGATTGCCTGTTGGTGGGAGTCTGGAATACTCAGTAGCCATTCAAATGGGTGGGGGAAGCTGTGGGTCAATGGGCTGTGACCTCCAAGCTTCATCCCTGTGCGATACAAACAGGTTGGAGAATAGTGTGGTGCTGTCCCATGGATGTCAACTTTATTATTCCAGTAGCTTTAGGGGGTACAAATAGTTTTTGGTCACATGGATGCATCGTATAATGGCAGAGAAGTCTGGACTTCAGGTGTCCCCCCTATCCCCATCTGTGCATACTGTCCCTGATAGGTGATTTTTCCTTCCTTTTCCCTTGCCTCCTCCTGCTTCTGAGTCTCCAGTGTCTGTTTTACCAATCTGTTTTTTTTTTTGAGTCGGCGTCTCACTCTGTCACCCAGTCTAGAGTGCAGTGGCACACTCACGGCCACCCCAGAATCGACCTGCTGGGCTCCGGTGATCCTTCCACCTCAGCCTTCCAAGTAGCCAGAACTACAGGCGCATGCTACCACACCCAGCTAATTTTTGATTTATTATAGAGACGAGGTCTCACCAAGTTGCCCCAGCTGGTCTCGAACCCGCAGGCTCAGGCAATCTGCTCGCCTTGGGCTCCCAAAGTGCTGGGATTACAGGCTGAGCCACTGAGCCAGCCCGTTATGCCATTCTTTCTACCTTTGTAGATCCTCAGTTTAGCTCCCACTTATTTCTTATTTATTTGTTTGTTTGTTTGTTTGTTTTTGCTATGTTGCCCAGGCTGGTCTTGAACTCCTGGGCTCAAGGGATCCTCCCACCTCGGCCTTCCAAGGTGCTGGGATGGTAGGCATGAGTCACCATGCCTGACCTAGCTTCCACTTACAAGTGAGAACATGCAATGTTTGATTTTTTTGTTCCTGTGTTAGTTTACTTAGAATGAATGGTCTCCAATTCCTTCCTGTGAGTGTAAATTTTAAAATGATGTTATGTGTACACTAAATAGAAAGTGCAGGGATGTACGTGCACATTTATTTTTCTCTGAATGGGCATACAGGAAATTGTTAGCAGTTATTTGTAGGGAGAAGGACTGGTGGGAAGAGTGGAAAAGGGTTTGTTGGCCAGGCGTGGTGGCTGAAGCCTGCAATCCCAGCAATTTGGGAGGCCTAGGCGAGAGGATTGCCTGAGCTCAGTGGTTCGAGACCAGCCTGGGCAACTTGGCAAGTCCTTGTCTCTACAATAACAAATTAACTAGGCGTTGTAGCATGCCTGTAGTTCCAGCTTCTTGGAAGGCTGAGGCGGAAGGATCACCTGAGCCCAGCAGGTTGAGGCTGCAGTGACCTGGAGCGTGCCACTGCTCTCCAGCCTGGGTGACAGAGTGAGACTCCAACTCAAAAAAAAAAAGGAAGAAGTGTTTGTTTTATTTTCTCTACTTTTTAGTACCTTTTCTATTTGGTTTTTATAATTTTGAGCATATGCTTGTGGGCAGTACTTATGTAGGTGGTGATGTTGTGGACTGTTTTTGTTTCATTCTTTGTCCTTTTCTATATTGAAAACAAAAAACAAGCCCAAACTCCCCAAGCTCCTGATCTCTGTTGGCGTGGGGTTAGGGAAGCAGCTTGAAAATATCTAGAGAATCAGCCGGGAGCCAGCTAGAAAATGGGAACAACTTCAGGTATTAAAAATTGAGGGATTGGGCCTGTAATCCCAGTACTTTTTGGAGGCCAAGGTGGCAGAATTGCTTGGGGCCAGGAGTTCTGGGTTGTGCCCTATGCTAGTCAGGTGTCCATGTTAGCTTTGTCATCAATATGATGACCTCCTAGTATTGGGGACCCACCAGGTTGCCTAAAGAGGGGTTAACTGGTCCAGGTTAGAAACAGAGCAGGCCAAACTTCCATGCTAATTAGGAGTGGGTTTATGCCTGTGAATAGCCCCTGAACTCTAGTCTGGGCAATGCAGCAAGACCTCATCTCTATGTATATATACATGCATGTATTTATACACACACACACGTGTGTGTGTGTGTGTGTGTGTGTGTGTGTGTGTGTGTGTGTGTATGTATGAATGCTGGACACGGTGGCTCATGCCTGTAATCCGAGCACTTTGGGAGGCTGAGGTAGGCAGATTGCTTGAGCCTAGGAGTTCAAGACCAGCCTGGGCAACATAGGGAGATACTGTCTTTATTTTAAAAATCTAAAAATTAGCTAGGTTTGGTGGTATGCACCTGGAGTCCCAACTCTTCAGGAGTCTATGGTGGAAGAATTGCTTGAGCCCAGGTGATTGAGGTGCTGGTGAGCTGTGATCATGCCACTGCATTCCAGTCTGAGCAATACAGCACAATTCTAGCTCTTTAAAGAAAAAAAAAATAAGCCGGGCTCGGTGGCTCAGCCTGTAATCCCGCCCCTTTGGGAGGC